TCATCACGACAGGTACTGCTCGCCAATGTCGAAGAAGCTCTGTCCCTTCTGGCCACGCTTGGTCTCATGGGCAATCATCCAAAGTCCCAATTGCGTCCACTGCAGCGGATTCAATACATCGGCGCCATCCTGGATTCCACCTCATGCATGGCGTACCTACCTCAGGACAGGGCCACAGATATCATCAATCTGGCCAACCTGGTGCATACCCAACTGTCAGCTACGGCCTTCCAGGTCCAGCGGCTGCTTGGTCTTATGGCATCCACAATGGCAGTCCTGGTCTTTGCGAAGCTCAGGACGCGCCCACTGCAACTGTGGTTCCTCCGCAAATACGACTTGACGATGAACCCACACAAGGTCGTGCGGTCCCCTCCTTCCGTAGTGCTGGATTCCTTGGAATGGTGGACCCTGCCGTCCAATCTTCTTCACGGGGCCCCCTTCCACCCTCCGTCTCCAGAGATTACGGTCGCGACAGACACTTCCTTGCAGGGATGGGGAGCTCACTCCATGGACATCTCCATAGGAGACAGGTGGGACGACCGTACTGGTCGTCGTCACATCAACTATCTAGAGCTGATGGCCATACGACACGCTGTTACCAGTTTCCACCCATTACTCACCGGAAAATGTGTCACTATCTTAACAGACAACACGACTGCTCTGTCATACGTCAACAGGCAGGGAGGCACAGTATCGGTGCGCCTCTGCAATCTCGCCATCGCCCTGTGGGACTTCTGTATCGCCCACGATATATTCCTCATCGCCGTTCACATTCCGGGACATCTGAACATGGAAGCGGACCAACTCAGCCGTTCAGGACTCAGTCTGCACGAATGGGGACTAAACCCCGCATACCTGTCTCCACTCTTCCCCAAGTGGACATCTTTGCGACCAGAGACAACGCCAAATGTCAACGTTTCTGCAGTCAAGGAGGCAGCAACCCCCTATCGCTCGGGCACGGCCTCCTTTACCCATGGTCCACTTCACTCCTCTACATGTTCCCCCCCTGCCACTACTCCTCAGAGTTGTCAGGAAGGTTCTCGAGGAAAACGCAGACGTCATCCTAATAGCGCCTTGGTGGCCAAGGCAGCTGTGGTTCTCCACGGTCCTGGAACTGTCGGCCGGAATGTATCACCAATTCCCACCGTTTCCAGAATTGCTCCAGCTGTCTCAGTCGCCTGTGCTCCACCACAATCTTCCACAGCTAAAGCTGACTGCGTGGCGGATACAGGCCCGGCGTTCTCGTCTCGTATGATTGAGGTTCTCATGAACTCTCGGAAAGCGTCCACACGTAAGTCGTACGATTACAAGTGGAAATGCTTCTGTTCCTTTTTGGACACTGACACCTTTACAGCCACGACTGCTGGCCTCGATAAGGTTTTTACTTTTATCCTATACCTAGCTGACTCAGGACTTACCCACTCCTCGTTGAAAGTTTATTTGGCCGCATTATTGGCGTTTCGTGTTCATATAGATGGGTGCACTCTGTCTTCGCATCCGGTTACCAAACGTTTCCTAAAAGGTTTACTACGTTTATACCCTCCAATCAAAGCTCCAATCACTTTATGGGACCTTGGTTTTGCGCCAGTTGACAAGACGGCCCTTCGAACCACTCGCAATCTGTCAATTGAAGCTCCTGGCGTGGAAGACAGCATTCCGCATTGCCATTACCTCGGCCAGGCGAGTGGGTGAACTCCTGGCTTTCAGACACGACTCACCTTATCTATCCTTCCTCCCGGATGGGGTCCGTCTGGTGCCAGACATCTCTTTTTTACCCAAGGTGGTTTCTGAATTCCATTTGCAGTCTGAAGTTTTCCTCCCTGATTTCTATCCTGATCCGAAATTGCAGGAAGACAGGCTAATGCATAGTTTGGATGTGAAGCGAGCCCTCCTTTTTTATCTAGATAGGACGCGCTCCACCAGACAAACGTCACAGCTTTTTGTCACATATGCTACACCTCGTGTGGGCACTCCAATCACAGCCCAACGGCTATCCAAGTGGATCGTAGGTCTAATACAACTATGCTACCTACTGGCGAAACAGCCGTTGCCAGGCCCGGTGCGGGCGCATTCCACCAGGGCTGTCGCGACATCCACTGCATTTCTGAAGGAAGTCCAGCTGCAAGACATTTGCAAAGCCACAACCTGGGCCACGCCTAATACCTTCATCAGACACTACGCCCTAGATGTCCGCAAAACCACCGGTGACAATATGGGACGTCAGGTTTTATCATCGGCTAAGCAGTAAACACCTGACAGCACCCACCTCCAGGTAGGCTACTGCTCGCTAATCTCCCATTGGTGTGAAACACAGAGACCAAGAAGAAGATAAACAGGTTGCTTACCAGTAACTGGTGATCTTCGAGTGGTCATCTGTGCATTCACACCACCCGCCCTCCTGCCTCGCTGCTGTCTTCTTCTACTTGTTTTATTAGGAGTTGATATGCGGCGGTTTGTAGGAACTGGCGGGATGTCCGCGCCCGTGCCTCTGGGCATGCGCAGTGGGGCTCCTGCGCATGCCCGGAGGGGCTGGGCGCGAAAATCCATTAAAAGAGCTTGCTACAGCACCGGCAGATCCAGTGCAGGCGCACTGGATCCCATTGGTGTGAAGGCACAGATGACCACTTGAAGATCACCAGTTACTGGTAAGCAACCTGTTTTTTTTTTTCCCTGCACACCCCTATGCAGGTCTTTACTGCTTCCCTTTCAGCCTGTCAATCCTGGTCCTGTAAAGACTCTGCTCCAGGAATTAGCCCTGATCACTGCTGGGTGATCAGGCAGGCGCTTCATCTTCTCTCCAGAGCTATGAAGTGATCTCTCCTCCTTCTATGCTCTGCTGGTTCAGGAGAAATTGGTGGCAACTGAGGCTGTAGACTTTTTGTGGTCTCTTTCTTCTCCTGCCAGAAAGGGCAGCCTGGCCATGACTTGGAAGTGTTCTTGTTTCCTGATGCTTCCTCCATTGGGTCTGCTTCTCAACCCAGCTGCTCAGGTGGGTATTCCACTGGTGTGGGGCCCAAAACTTCTGAGGAAGAGGAGGAAGCAGCTGCTTGGTTCATGACACCCCCTGTCTTTAGCTTCCTCCCCTTCAATTCCCCTGGCAACGTCCATCTGGGAAAACTGTGGCCTAGTTATGTAGTGCTAGCCACTGGACCAGACAAGGCCTGGTGGTGCACTGGGGAACTGCCAGAACTTGCAGATAGTACCTCATTTTCCCCAGTATCCCCTTCCCTGCACTATTTCCTCTTTTGCCTTCTCCTGGCAACCTCCATATCCTCAGCTTTACCTGCTTTTTTCTCTCCTTCCCATCCACCAACTAACCTTTTATGTAGCCCCCCCCCCCATCTTCAGCTATATTTATTATTATTTACTTCATTTATATGCCACGTTTTCCCCCTACAGGGACCCAAAGCATACATACATCATTCTGCTTTCCTCCATTTTATCCTTACAACAACCCTTGAGGTAGCTTAGGCTGTGAATGTGTGACTGGCCCAAGATCAACCCATGAGCTTCCATAGCAGAGTGGAGACTTGAACCTCAGTCTCTCAGATCCTAGTTTGAAACTTGGAACTACTATCCTGTGCTGGCTTTTCTGGGGTGGCTGCTGTTGAACAATTGCAAGCAGACAGTCCTGGGTGAGTCATGCGAGTTACATGGCAACACCAAAACAGCCCTGGAAAGGGTGCTGCCTTCTGCCTTTGCTGACAGACACCAACATTTAAAGGCTGGCAATAGTGTGTGGTTGCCTAGCAACAGCCACTAAGGACATTTTTTTAAAAAAGCTGCAGGTACTACTTCTATTATTTTGGGTGGGGTTTAACCCCCCAATGGGTTGGTTTTTTGTTTTTTGTTTTTTAATAACAGATTTTTCTAGAAAACCTGGGCTTTTCTCAGGTCTGTAGAATGGTCTGTCTTGTTTGTTCATGATTCCAATCTCTCTATTGAAGTACCCACAGATTTGGTCACATTGAGAATTAGATATATAAATGGGAGGAGGAACATTGTTGCATGTCAAAATGGATTCCAAGGGATTCTTCTCAGAGATGCAAACTACACCTTTAGATCAATGCAGTAAGACCAATTATATGGATTTATTGGGTTAGTTTCTCATTTAAAAAGGGCTTCTGTTCCCATGAGAACCAAAGATGCTTTCAACTTATTCAATGACAAGTAGCCATTCTGTTTTATGAACTAGGTGGATCGCTTCATGTTTGAAGGAGTTGAGATTCCACTGGTCCCATCTTGTGCAGTCTTCATCACAATGAACCCTGGCTATGCAGGACGCACTGAATTACCTGATAACTTAAAGGTAATGATTTTGAACATGGTGAGGTATTGCATTCAAGAACAAACTACATTTCATGAAAGATCTTTGGCCCTCATTCACCATTCTACCCTCATTTCCAAGTTCTATTATGCTCCTATCAATATTACAGTGACTTTTTATGCCATCAGCTCTTTGGGCTGAGTTGTCCCAAACTGGAAGCTCTCCAACTCTTGTCGGCTTTTCCCCTCTGCCATCTTTTTGATATTAGAAGAAGAAGAGTTGGTTTTTATACCCCACTTTTCACTACCCAAAAGAGTCTCAGAGTGGCTTACAATTGCCTTCCCTTCCTCTCCCCACAGCAGACACCTTGTGAGGTAGGTGGGGCTGACAGAGCTCTGAAAGAACTGTGACTGACCCAAGGTCACCCAGCTGGCTGGACATGGAAGAGTGGGGAATCAAACCTGGTTCTCCAGATTAGAGTCTGCTGCTCTTAACCACTACACCACAATGGCTCTCTATATTCTTGCCATGAGAGGAAGAAGGTGAAGAAAGGAAGGAGGAAAATCATGTTCTGTCTCCATCTGCAGAAAGACTCTCAGGGATCCAAGCCCCTGTCTACAATGTTCAAATGTGCTGATAGTGTCGATTGCTTCTTTTTTGCAGATTGATTTTAAATTTCCTCCAATCTGGGCCTAAGACTCACTAAGCATAAATGTTCATGACATCTTGTGTTCCAGGCTCTTTTTCGTCCTGTGGCTATGATGGTTCCAGATTACTCTATGATTGCTGAGATTTCTCTGTATTCCTTTGGGTTCAATGAAGCCAAAGTGCTGGCAAAAAAAATCACTACCACATTCAAACTGTCTTCTGAACAGCTTAGTTCTCAGGTCGGTATCTTTAGCCTTCTAGTTTTTCTAATGCAAGAATAATCTAAGTACCTAGTGTGTTAACTGTTGCCTATTCTGAGGTTTTATCTATATATCTAATAGTGAAGTTGCCCCCGGAGTGCGGATCGCTAAATCAGCGCTCCGGGGGCAGCTGAGGGGCCGGGGCAGGTTTGTGCACACGTGGGCCAGTCCCCACGTGTGCACAAAAATAAAAAAAGTTGGAAAAAAATTCGGGGGGATGTTTAAATCCCCCTTGCCTCAGGGGGCGGGGGCGCTTCGGGGGGGGGGGGGGGAAACAGCGGCGACTTACTCCCCTACTCCTGCTGCTTCCCCCCCCCCCCCCGCGAGTATCGCGGGTCCCCCTCTTGTGGTCTCATATTCTCTTGTCAGTTTCAGTTGTATCCCAGTGTCCTTTATCTGTTCAATCCATTTAAAGGCAATGTACATAAAGCATTAGAACAATTAAGTACAACATTAAAAATATAAAATAATTCAATTAAAACATGTAAAAAAAAACAATACTAGAATCAGGGATGATAGCCAATAACTGTTATTGGGGGGTATGCCAAACAAAACAGAGAAGTTTTCACCCACTGGCAGAAGACACTGATAGAGAGAGAGAGAGAGAGATGAACCTCCCTGGGGAGAGAGTTCCAATGTTTTGGTGCCATGACTGAGAAAGCCCTTTCTTGGGTCACCACCCATCTAGCCTCAGATGGCAGGGGCAACTGGAGCAGGGCCTCCATAGATGACCAGAGTTGGTAGGTAGGGACATAGGGGAGAAAGGGGTCAAGTTATGTTGGTCCCAGGCCACGCAGGGCTTTAAATGTCAATACTAGCATCTTGACTTGAGCTTGGAAGCAGTGTTCCCTCTAAGATGAGGGGTGGGGACAAGGTATAAGCTCATAATTTTTTGTCTCAGCTCAGGAAGGATGGCTCCAGAGCAAACTAATTTATGCAGTAGCCAAATCGCTTGCTCACAACTTTAATGCCAGTAGCTCACAAAGCTGAATTTTTGCTCACAAGACTCCACAGCTTAGAGAGAACATTGCTTGGAAGCAAATTGGATGCCAGTGTGGATGAAATAAGACTGAAGTTATATGGTCCCTATGACCTACTGCAGTTAGTGCTCTGGCCACAGCATTCTGTACCAACTGTAGCGTCAAGATACCCTTCAAGGGCAGCCCTGTGTGGAGTGCATTGCAGTAAATCTAACCTAGATGTTACCAGGGCATGCACCACAGTGGCAAGCAGTGTTCCCTCTAAGCTGAGTTAGTGTGAGCTAACTCAGTTTTTTAGCCTCTGGCTCACACATTTTTGTCTTAGCTCAGGAAGGATGGCTCCAGAGCAAACTAATTTATCTGGCAGCCAAATTGCTCACTCACAACTTTAATGGCAGTAGTTCACAAAGTAGAATTTTTGCTCATAAGACTCCACAGCTTAGAGGGAACATTGTTGGCAAGGTCATTTCGGCCTAGGAGGGACCACAGCTGACTCGCCAGCCAAAGCTGGTAAAAAGCACCCCTGGTCACTGCTGCTGCCACCTGTGTCCAGGAGCAACCCCAAGCTATGAACCCACTCTTTTAGGCGGAGTGCAAACCCATCCAGAACAGGATAACCTATTTTCTGGGTAAGACCTTCATTCACCTCCATTATGTCAGGATTAAGTTTCAGCTTGTTAGCCTTCATTCATTCCAAAACTGTCTCCAGGCGCCTGTTCAGTTTCCACAACCTCCTTGGGATCTGCTTGCAGCTCAAGACAGAGGGGTGGAGCCTGGAGAGGGTGAGGTTTGAGGAGGGGTGGGACCTCAGACAGGTACAATGCCATAGACTCCACCCTCCAAACCAGCCATTTCCTCCTGAGTAACAATTGTTGCCAATCTTCTGGTGAGGGCTGGAGATCAATGAAAATTACAATTGCTCTTCAAGTAGCAGAGATCAGTTCCACTGGAGAAAATGGTGGGCTCTGTGCCATTATACCCTGCTGAGGTCACCACAGCATATTGACACTGAGTGCCCAAGGCCTTGGCACTCTCCCAGAGCCTCTTTCTAGAGCTCATTGTATTTATTTCCACAACGGGCCTTATTCCTAGACATGCCATAATGAGGAAAGGGGGCTGCAAAGGTAGAGGACATTGCAGTAAAAAAGGGAGGTGGTTTGTATAATAAATATTGCAACAGACTACAATACTATCCCTTATAGAAGTCCTTAATTAAGTTTAAAATGTTAAATCATAGCTATTTAAAGGATTTCCCTTCTTATGCTTATCTAAAAAGGGGGTTTGGTTTTCCTTCCTCTTGAGTGACTGCATGTTTGCCATTCTACTGACATTCTGATTTCCATTGCTGCCATTTACTGTGTATTTGCTACAGGATCACTATGACTTTGGAATGAGAGCTGTGAAGACTGTCATTTCAGCTGCTGGCAACCTCAAAAGAGAAAATCCAACAATGGATGAGGCAAGTCCACAATTGTCTCACTGAAAATGACTCTGCATGCAATGCTGCATTGTCAATAAGACATGTTTGTGCACTGTATGAGAATGACCAGAGAAACAACTTTGGAATGCCATATACCCTTTAGACATTCAGAACATTTCCGGAGGACCAAAATTTGGATGTACAGTTATATTCTTAGGTTCTGCAGAACAGAATACTGCACATGCAGCTCCAAAATGAGGCAAATAACTTGTCTTTCAAAAGCTATTCCTTACAAGTGCTGTGTGCATGTGGGGAAAGCTAGTTGGGTCTGAGGAACCTGAACCTGACATTAAAAATCATGTATGATTTGGCTAATAAAGGTAACATTTGGTTTTGCCTTGTTTATATATTTTAACATACAACTGATTTGTATATTGAAACATGCAAGCATTTCATTCACAGATGTCCTCATTTAGCTTGTTGTTTGTTTTTTAACTTTTAAAAAAGAATCTCAGTTTTTGCTAACATTTTTCAGGAAACTTCATTAATGAAACAACATGTTTTACAACATTGATTGCAGCCATATGGGGAAAAGGCAACAATGAAATATTATGGCTGAGGTCAGACTAGCAGTTTGAAACACGAGGGAGTTGTGGCAAAAAAAAGACCCGGAACAACTTGTTCTGGGTATTCCCGGTCACACTGCACCGACTGATGCAGGAGCATACCGGGAGGAGCCACAAGGGAGCGTTTGCACTGTTGGTCCGGAGGCGTGGCTGTAAGTGGCTTTTTCTCACTCCGGCAACATGTACCTATGCACATATGTGCATATGCGCATCAGCAATTATCAATGTGGCTTGTTCTCACGGCTTTTAGTGTGCACACATCCGAGAAGCGGGATCAATGTACTTTCCAGGGTTTGCTACCACTTTCACCTGGTATTTTTTAAACTCGGGAGGGAAGCATTACAAGACGGGTTGAGTATGGCTGGGGAACACCTGACAGATGTCCCTGTGTGAATGGCCCCTTTAATCCGTTTGTGAAACGTTTCTGAAACGTGCCTATATCGGGCCAAACTGCCAGTCTGAACTCGGCCTATATCCATTAAATGAGCAGTTGTAATAACATTAGTGCAAAACCAAGTTCCTTAACCTGTCTTTCTCCTATGATGGACTCAGGGCAGACTCAGAAGGTAAAAACTTTGGCTGTGATGACTATGAAGATTAATTGTTAGAAAAGAGAAGGAATAATCATATGCCCAATACGTGGTTCTTTTCTTTTCTTTTTTCTTCTTCGTATTTTTGCATTGGTGTTTGTGTGCACGTGTGCGTGCGTGCGTGCCTGGAAGTCATGGCGACCTCTGGTGACTCTGGGGCATGGAGAACATTCAGAGAAGTGGCTTGATAGCCTGCTCTGCCTCCCGGCCCTGGTATTCTTTGGAGGTCTCCCATTCAAATACTTGCCAGTGTTAGTCCTGCTTTGCTTCTGAGATCTGATGAGATTGTGCTTGCCTGGGCTATAGTCAGTCCTGCTTCACTTCTGAGATCTGATGAGATTGTGCTTGCCTGGGCTATCCAGGTCAGGGCCCTAATACATGGTTCTTAATTGATTGCAGGAGCTTATTTGTTTAAGGGCTATCAAGGATGTCAATGTTCCCAAGTTCCTGCTGGATGACCTCAAGCTTTTCAATGGTATAATATCTGACTTGTTTCCATTGATCAAAGAGGAGGCTATTGACTATGGCATCCTGGAGGAAGCAATTCGCAGAGCATGTCGTAGAGACAACTTGAAGGATGTTGATGGTGAGTGGAAGCAGAATAAACACTTCCTGTGTTTTTGCCAAAGGTCGTGCCAGTCTAGCATTTAGAAGATTGCCCAGAAAAATGTCAGTCTCCTGCAGGCTCTGGGAATTGAACATCACAGCAGCAGGGTGCAGCTTGTCCTTCAGTAATCTCAGCTCACAGAGTATGAAAATGGTGCAGAAAGTTGGAGGGGAAGGTGTCAGATCATGTTGAATGAGTGATGCCTTCCCTTCCACCTGTGGACTGTCCTTTTAATCCTCAGCTGTGACCATATGCCCCAGAAGTTTTGTTACCTGCCTTCAATCTCAGTTGCCTGGGAGAAAAATGAATGTATAAATGTTTTAGATAGACAAACGTCCAAAATGTTCTCATTAGAAAATAGGTACATTATTAAGTAAGTTTGCAATGCAAAATATGAGCCATGGCACTCAGGAGACCTTTATCTGTCCTTATATATAAAAGCATTTTTGCGTGGCAAAGTTCTGTGTGCGCCAAAATCAGTTTGGCTGCCTGAACTGCCACTCAGAACGTCTACTAATCCCCTGGCTGCATTGGGACAGAAGGTCATTGGCTCTGTTGCCTCAGTCCCGCCCACAGAAGAAGTGCCTGCAAAAATTTAGCTCACACTGTGCCCAGTTCCCTCAGAAGACAGAGACTCCAGCCCCACTGCTTCGCTCTGCTCATTTAGGACGAGGGGCCGCTACAGACCCACCCCGCTACAGACACCCCCCACACTCCAGGTAGCCGTCGCTGAGCCTGGGGTCTGCTTGGCGGCCCGAGGAAGTGCGCAGCACACACCTTGCAGGAGGAGCCCCGCCTTGCACATGCAACAAGCCCCACCCCTGCTCCCAGCAGCCCTCAGTCAAAGCAAGAAGCAGCCAGATAAAATGCAGAGCTCCCCCCACCCCCCTGGTCCAAAACAGTCCAGTGGCACCTTTAAGACCAAGTTTTATTCAGGTACAAGCTCTCCCTCCTCTGTACACCTGGCCTCCCGGCTGCAGCAGCAGGCGATGCTGCATGGCTCCTGTCCTACCGTGGTCTCGCCATGGCGCTCGGATAGAGCTGCAGGGGGTGGGGGTTGCCGGCCAACTGCTGCAGGACGGAGCACTCTCCCACACCCTCTCTCTAGAGCTCATTGCATTTTTTTCCGCAACGGGCCTTATTCCTGGTGTATCATAAAGGAAAAGTAGACTCCACCTCTTGAGGCAAATGCAGTCAGAGTTATATTCCTATTAGGGGGACTTTTTCCACTTATAAGCTTACCCTAGAAGTTTCTGAGTCATGGCTCTGCAGAGGTGCAAAGCCCATCAATGTGAAAACATAGACAACCACTCAAACAGCAATAGCCACAGGTAAACAACCTGTTATTTTCCCTTATTGCATATGATATTGTTGCAGAATTAGGGCCTGGATTGAGCCTCAGTCCTCTCTAAAACCTATGATACTTTCTACAGTAAATTAGTCTCTATAGTTGAATCTTTGGTTCAGTTTCCCAGGAGGTTTCAGAACTCTGCTGGAACTGTGGCTTTCTGGTACTGATAACTCTGTATATGAGTTTTGCCTTAGAGGATGTTTAGACATTCCAGAAGGAAGTGGTGTCACCAGAGGTCATTTCGTAGAAAAAGAGGTGCAGGAGCTCATTAGCATAACTTATTTGCATATGTCACACCCCCTGACATCACCGGAAGTATGTCAGAAGGCAACACCCTCTCCTCAGGCTCCACTGGACTGTTTTGGATTGCTAGCTATTGGGGGGGGGCATGCAGATCTGTCCTTACAGAGGAGGGAGAGCTTGTACCTGAATAAAACTTGGTCTTAAAGGTGCCACTGGCCTGTTTTGGACCAGGGGGGCGGGGGGAGCTCTGCATCTTATCTGGCTTCTTCTTGCTTTGACTGAAGGCTGCTGGGAGCAGGGGTGGGGCTTGTTGCATGTGCCCGCCCCCTGGGCTCTTTACTGCCAGAGCTCCGCTCCTGTGCACTCCTGCAGGAAATGACCCCTGGGTGTCACTATCAGAATCAAAATAGATAGGGTATCTAAATCTAGCTTCCTTGACTCTCCTTGACTTCCTGTGAGCTTCCTGACCCCAGAGATAGAAAGAAGGGGATGGATTTAGGCAGGGCTATTTTTGGGCAGGAACGCACATGAACCGAGTTCCGGCTGGCTCCCGAGTTGGCCACGCCCAGCAGGAACTCATTAGCATTATAGGCCACACCCAACAGCAGAAACTCATTAGGATTGACTACAATAGGGGTGTGTGGCCTAACATGCAAAGGAGTTCCTGCTACAAAAAAAAGTCCTGGGTTTTGACAACAGACAAGGTAAACAAAATAAGAAGCTAAAGGTGGGTGTGGTTGGATGACCAGACTTCTGATAACATGGGGATGCGACCTAATGTGCTAATGAGCTGTGCTGTCAAGGGTGTGGCCTAATAGGCTAATGAGTCTCTGCTGTTGGGTGTGGCCTATTATGCTAATGAGTTCCTGCTGGGCTTTTTCTACAAAAAGAGCCCTGGTGGGTTGGTACATCAGACCACAAATACCTAGGGGAACAGCAATACAAAACTGTACTATAAACCCAAAGATTGCTGCAAGTGTGTACAAACAATAAATGAATTTACACAAAAGTAAGTCAATCTTCACTGAAGATGATATTCATGATGTGTCTTTTATAGTCGATGAACAGGTGGACAGAAGACAGACGAACTTCTCGAGTAAATGCCCGTTTCGAAGTGTCTTTCTCAATCTGTCAACATACAATTACAATAACATCTATAAAACCCTCCAAAGAGTGGGATACTGTATAAAACTACAATGTTTGGATAATACATACAATTTCGCATCCAAATGTACTGAAGATGACGATGAAGTCTTTAAATCTATAAATAAAATAATTATATTCATAATAAATACATGCATATGTGTCATTTCTAAACCATATACCAACAGTATTTCAAAAATGCAAAAATCTTACCAAACTGTTTTTTCCATGAGCTATGCAGCTACATACAAAACTCTCCAATGGACTAATAAGTCTTAAACAACTGCTGACCCTGCTCACATTATATACATCTCAACGATCATGTGTCCAATTACATGATGGTGCCAACTTATCTAGTTTAACATTGTACATGTATTCTTTATATCAACCCATTTGCACAGAAACTACCTGTTTACTCCAAGTTTGGCAGCAGGTAGTTTCTGTGCAAATGGGTTGATATAAAGAATACATGTACAATGTTAAACTAGATAAGTTGGCACCAGCATGTAATTGGACACATGATCGTTGAGATGTATATAATGTGAGCAGGGTCAGCAGTTGTTTAAGACTTATTAGTCCATTTGAGAGTTTTGTATGTAGCTGCATAGCTCATGGAAAAAACAGTTTGGTAAGATTTTTGCATTTTTGAAATACCGTTGGTATATGGTTTAGAAATGACACATATGCATGTATTTATTATGAATATAATTATTTTATTTATAGATTTAAAGACTTCATCGTCATCTTCAGTATATTTGGATGCGAAATTGTATGTATTATCCAAACATTGTAGTTTTATATAGTATCCCACTCTTTGGAGGGTTTTATAGATGTTATTGTAATTGTATGTTGACAGATTGAGAAAGACACTTCGAAACGGGCATTTACTCGAGAAGTTCGTCTGTCTTCTGTCCACCTGTTCATCGACTATAAAAGACACATCATGAATATCATCTTCAGTGAAGATTGACTTACTTTTGTGTAAATTCATTTATTGTTTGTGCACACTTGCAGCAATCTTTGGGTTGGTACATCAGGCCAGTTCTAGTCAGTTCTAGTTTGGTCTGTGTCACATCCATGTTATTCATACGTGATAGGTACTTTAGCAGCTTTAGGTCCAAGAAAGAGATATACCTCTGGTTTACCAAGGGTTGGGGGCTGCTCATCAGTGCCCAGGTGTCAGTAGCCAGAATATATTTCTTATTTGTTCACTGTACATTGAATTATAAGTATTGAATTAAGAATTATGAGTCAAGTTTGTATGCTGCATACTAGATTCTTATATATTTGGAAGGTTTCACATTTTGGGTTTGAAGTTCAATAAATAAGAGTTTTTTTAAAAAAACCTGTCTCTCTTTCTTGATGCAATTGGGATTCCTGCCAGTTTCTCTCCCTCCCCAGTGATCACAGTGGAGATGGGAGTCCATGAAAGGGTTTCTACACTCCTAGTTTCCCCAACAGATATTATGGTTCATTTTACTGTGTTGTGACACTCTGGTAGAGTTGTAAGCAATGAAAGTAAGAGGACACATGTGGAATTATGGCATTAATTGTGTGTGTATATGCATAAATATACACACATATATCCATTACATATGTACTATATATTATCCCTCTTTGGGTTATGAAATGTATAATGTAAAGTAGTACCAGGCTGCGATCATACGCACAATTAGACCCGCCACAATAGGTGCGAATGCCGAGTGGATTTAAAGGGCGTGATCAGACAACAACATCTGGGAAGCACCCTGCAGCCGTCAGCAACCTGTTCTGCTCCACCGCAGAAGTGGCATTAAAAGACACCAGGAAAAATCCAGTAGTTAATGGGTTGCAACGAGCCACAGACAGACTTTCCCCTGTCTGATCGCTCCAGCGCTCTCTCATGGCATTGCGATGGTCTGATCAGGCCATCCTGACCCCGTGCCATTCCCCCTTCTCAGTATGCGCATCATTGCAAACTCCATAGGGAGCCCTCAGTGCGGAGATGCGATTAATCCATTCCTTGGCAGTAGCGGGCTGCCCCCGCAGCTTCCAAGGACTGTGTGATCGTGCAACTGCAGGTCAAATTCCTCCAGAGGAAATAGCCTCACTTCCCCTCCGCTTCATCTGGCACGTGTGACCACAACCCCACTGTTAGCTATGTCAAAAAATTTCCTCTGTGTATCTGATGAACAAACTAGTATCCTTCCTCCTTGTTGCTTTGGTGTGATGAAACAGAACTGGCTTAGGTAGTGTCCGCAGCCATTCTGATAAGTTGGTGCTTGTATTCACTCCTCTGCAGATCAGTAAATGAAACTGTTTGGGTATTCTTGTTCTGAATCTTTTGTGCTCCAGGTTTTGTGACTAAGTGTATCCAGCTGTATGAAACAACTGTGGTGCGGCATGGCCTCATGCTTGTGGGGCCCACCGGCTCTGGAAAAACTAAGGTAAGGTCTGCAGGAGATGCAGTGCAATGTTCCCAGCATAGGAAAGGAAAATTGCTTTTCCCTCAGCACTAACATCCATGACATGAGAACTTCAGATTTAATTGTGGGGAAAAAGCAAAAAACAAAAAACCCAACCCCTTCTTGCAAAGTTCAGTAGCAACATACATTAGAGACCTTTGAAATACAACCATGGGGTATTAAAAGTGATGTACTGAACTTACTTTTACTGAGAAAGAGCCTCATTAAGGCAGGTACAGATGACCTTTAGCCTTCCCCTCCTTTAGTGAGATTTCTACAATGTAGATGTTTCAAGATATTCTTATAGAAGAAAGCAGACAATTTCCCTCTATCCTTTGTGATCCTTGCTTGCCTTGTATAGTCCTATTTCTTCAACCATGTCAAACATTTGGGCAAAGTTCTTTGTTAACCACTTTGCATTCTTTATTATTGTAGATGTGTGGTGAGTTTGCATTGTGTTTGTGTGCAGTCTTATAATAGATACCATGGTATTTCATGTGATTGTACTCTTCTTTTTTCCCCTTCAGTGTTACAAAGTTTTGGCAGCTGCAATGACATCTTTGAAAGGTCGGCCGTCAGTCAGTGGTGGAAACTATGAAGCTGTCAAATATTATATACTGAATCCCAAATCTATTACAATGGGCCAGCTGTATGGAGAGTTTGACTTGTTAACTCATGAATGGTAAAAGACAAACATCCTTCTCCCTTTCTAGAAGGCTTGTGGTCTGTCTCTGTCCCCTTTTTAGGAATGGAAGTCTCTGCATAAACTGGAATTCCAGAAAGCCTTTCTCAGTAACGAGATTAAACAGATGGGCAGGATCAAGCCAACATTAAACACTGTACTTAGCTGTCACCAACCGAAATCACTGGGACTTAGAGGGCTTATTAACTGGTCCTTCTTTTGTGTTCTGCACAAAAAGTGAAACCGATGTTCTGATCACTACACTCTAAGAACTGAGTACCTGATATCCATTTGCAAATATTTCCCTTCTTAATTAGTTTATTGGCCCACTGGGAAAAAGGGAGTCAAATCATCACCCTCAACTTCAAAAGGCAGCCAGAAAAGGTTGAGGTTCATGTAAAATTGCCAACTTCCAGGGAGGGCCTGGAGTTCTCCTAGAATTAAAACTGTTTCCCAGACTACAAAGATCAGTTTCTCTGGAGGAAATGACAGCTTCAGAGGATGTGCTGTTCAAACCTAGGGACCCGAGGCAGGCAGGAGCCATGTCAAGATGGGCAAGGATAGCAGACACTGTCAGAGCTCTTAATTCCACAACAGCCAGAGTTGAACAGATTCTGTTTATAGGAGTCAGTACCTACAGCTGTAGCACTGACCTGGAGTCTGTAGGCACTCCCAGCTAGACCATGTCCTCCATCCTGCAAAGCTTTATGGTGGAGCTAGGTTACCAGATGCCTTGTGGTTAGGGCAGAGACCTTGGGCAGTTAGTCATGCACTCCACCATCTGAACTGTGCTTCTGCCCAGGCTTTCTGCCTTCTCTGCTCTTGGGGTCCTGGGGGCGACTACAAGGTCCTTGGCAATCAATTGTTATCCCTCATGGGTCTTTCACCAATCCCAGGTTCTCATAGTGGCTCCTTTTTTTGTAAGCCTTCTGGGCTTCTGGTCCAGTAGCCCACAGCTCTCTGCAAATTCCCTGAGAGCCACTGGGAGTCCGAAGGCCCAGGAGCCTCAGGGTCTGTCATAGCTTTATCCTCCATGGGATCTAGCACCATGGTGTTCTCATCCTGTGATGAAGGATTGTCAGGCCCAGTTCCAAAAAAGGGCAAACTTAATGGTATACAATAGATTCTAGGTGAAATCCCTCCACAGACATTGCCTCCAAATCTTTAGGTATTTCCCAGGTCAGATTTGGCAGATCTAGGCTCCTGGTAGGGGGGGGGACTTTCCCGCCATATGGCTGCAGTCACACGCATTAAATAATCCACTTTCAATCCTCTTTCAATGCACTTCCCAACTGGATTTTACTGTGTGAACTGGCAAAATCCAGTTGGAAAATGGATTGAAAGTGGATTATTTAGTGTGTGTGATCACAGCCAACCCTCCCCCCGCCCCCGGAATTGATATTTTTCTAATAGAGAAAATTATCTGTAGCCATATGCTTTTCTTATCATGACAAAAAGGCATTCCCCCAGCACCATGGTCCTGTTCTAATGGGGGGGGGGCGCAAATGCAAGGCTGCTATTTAAAGAGGAAGGAGAGCCAGTCCATGTTTCCAGCATCTTGTCTAGTGACGTCATTAGCTACGCATAAAGCTGAAGTGCACAATTCTACAAAGATATTAAGCCTACAAAAGGAGCTTGAAGAGACATTGTGCCATGTAAACATCTTCTACATTTTACCCTAAAGTTTGCTAGACTTGGGCTAGAGTGCATATTTATGGAAGATTTTTCCATAGCATATTCTGGTTAAATGTGACGGCTTATTTACAATGCAGTTTTTGCCCAAAGGGCAGCATACTAATGTAGCAGAGTGACAAAAAATACAATATCCATAAAAACTCGTTCACAGGCATAAAGCCATCTGTTCTCTCCAGCTGGGCTTCAAAGGATGCTATTTTCTTTTGATCTTGGAAAAAAAAGACCATACGTGTCCTCTGTACTAGATAAACAAAAATGAATAATAATTATAGCTATTTAAATGGATGACAATGATAATTTATTGATGGTGATAAACTGTTGGACTGCATCCAGTACCCCTTCTCCCACTGGTCTTTGCATTTTTGGCTATGAATGACTGTATGCATTCATACTTCACTTGCTCCTACCAAGATATCAAGATGGGAGATTCTTCTCCTACGGAAGGTAGCGTCTACTTTGTAATCTGTCTGAAAATATGTACTGAGGATAGCAGTAAAAAATGTGGGTGAGATGGGGTCTCAGATGTTATACACAGTATTGTTAGGCTGTAAAACCATCAGTTTGACTCCTGTTTATCTCCCTCCCACCTCACAGGACAGATGGTATTCTTTCCTCACTCATCCGAGTAGGAGCCGTTGCCACAGATAACAACAAGAAATGGTACATGTTCGATGGTCCTGTTGATGCAGTTTGGATTGAAAATATGAACACTGTGCTGGATGACAACAAGAAGTTGTGTCTTAGCTCTGGTGAAATCATTAAGATGACTGAGGTATCTTTATTTTGTTTATATTTGCATTTGTTGCTTGTACCAACACACATATTTTATTTATGGCATATATATCCCACCTTTCTTTCATCATGGGATTTGGCAGGGTACACAGGGTTCCTAGGATGTCACAAAAGTGATTGTCATCAGGGCCAAACTTTGGGGCAGAGGTCCAGGGACATGGGCTCAGCAAGGAGCCCCAAACACAGGTTGTAGTTTTGCAGTTATACCTTGCCATCTAAGGGGAAGTAGAGTGTAAGTCCATTAAGGACAAAATCTAAAATTATCTAATTGTACCTCTGATGTCATAACAAACACAGACACACAAACACAAATTGACTTTCATGTCATCCTGTTGTTTATTAACAGAACTTTTTCCAAAAGAAATTACTGTCTGTTAAACATAATCTGACCGAAACTTTACTGTTTTTAAACATTTCTTGTCATGTTTTTGTTACACAGCTGAAAGCTTCTGAATCGTGATGAATATTCAGAATTCTTTTTTTAAAAAAATTGAGGAGTTTACTTTTTTCTGAGTGATGGAGACTATATTATTAAAATGAAAGTAATTTTATTTTAGTGGTGTTTATGCTCAAGGTAGCATTATAAAATCATAGATTTGTTATCTATGCCAGATACTGCTAGCTGATACTGGGTTGGATCCAGACTAAATTAGCAGTTTCCACTAATTACCTCTTCGCCTGACCTGGATAGCCCAGGCTGGCCCAATCTCATCAGATCTTGGAAGCTAAGCAGGGTTGGCCCTGGCTAGTATTTGGATGGGAGATCCCTAACGAATACCAGGGTTGTGACTCAGAGGCAGGCAATGGCAAACCACCTCTGAATGTTTCTTGCCTTGAAAACTCTACGTGGTTGCCATAGGTCAGCTGTGACTTGACAGGAAAACACACACACACCAATTACCTCTTAGTGCATCAGACTCCACCTCATGTCATTCCTGAGGGTCCCCCTGTCCCCCAGGAAGGGCATTTCATGGAGATCAGTGGGTTTCAGCAGCATGGGAATGCAAGATGCACTATGCCATTGGAATATTTAGGCTGAGGTCACACGCGTGAAATAATCCACTTTCAATCCACTTTCAGTGCACTTTCCAACTGGATTTTTACTGTGTGAACTGGCAAAATCCAGTTGGAAAGTGCATTGAAAATGGATTAAAAGTGGATTATTTCACGTGTGTGACCTCAGCCTTAGTCTGGATCTAACTCACTGTATTTTTCATCAATATATCACCCCCATGCCCTGGGGATTAGGAAGGGTCAGGTTCTATGAAGCTTCACAGTCACACGTTCACAACACTAGCTGCACAATGCAAACTTGTACCTTTGGTGCTGTGGTAATAACTGGCTTCTTTGTGATTTCCAGGCAATGACCATGATGTTTGAAGTGCAGGATTTAGCTGTTGCCTCTCCTGCCACTGTCTCCCGGTGTGGCATGGTATACCTGGAGCCAAGTATTTTGGGACTGAAGCCCTTTACAGAATGTTGGCTGAAGAAGATTCCAGATGTTATAAAGCCATTCTCAGAGCCACTGGAATCTCTTTTTGACAGTTTCCTAGAGGTGAACTACTGCCGCATTCTTAGTACTGTATTTTGATTCAGTGAAGAATCTTTCCATCAGCCTTTGGTTTAGCCAACCAACAAGTTCAAACCAATAAATTTGCTTTCAGTAGTTTTAGAGTGCCTAGTAGGTACAATTCATCAGGAAATTTTCCATTACTAAGGCTCAGCTCTTGCACAATTTCAGTTCAGTTTTATTGGGATTTCA